ATTGATTTAATCATTAAGTAATGATAAAGTGGCCACGTTGATTGAACGAAAAAAGAAAAGAAAAAAGAAAGAAAAAAGAAAAGAAAGAAAGAAAGAAAGAAAGAAAGAAAAAAACCACAATAAACTGGTAAATAATTCGAATGAAATCTATTCGTGATCATGATTTTGTATTTATGTATGTACTTACACACGTATACCATATACGTACGTGCGACATAGATCTTCCGTCACATTAACAACATCCAAAGTAATAATTAGTATGAATAAGACAGAGATAGGGAAAGAGATAGAAAGAGAGATAGATATAGAGAAAGAGAAAGAGAAAGAGAGAAGGAGATAGAAAGAAAGAGAAAGAGTGAGAGAGTCATTATATCCCTGTTCTCATTACAAGACGAATCATTTAAAATTTAATAACAATAATTATAAACCTTTCCCCGTTTTCAGGTATAATTTCTTACACGGAGTACCTGTTTCTTCTATCCATTCTGACAAGTAAGTTCAACGTTAATACTTGCACGGTCTACCAATTTAGTCAAGAGGAAATTACATAGCTACCATGTATTGCATGCATGCTCGCCACAGAACTATACACAGTATATGTACACACACACACACACACGTACACGAATGCACGCACATATTTTATATATATATATATATGTGTGTAGAGAGAGAGAAAGAGAGAGGAAGAGAGAGAGAGAGAGAGAGAGATACAGGGTGTCTCATTAAAAATAATATTACCAAATATATATCTAATTCACAAGCTAGTTGTTTGATTTTGTTTTGTTTTCCTTTTATTTTCGTATTTGTTTCTTTTCAAAGCGTAAAATATAAAATACTTATACCAATTTTATCACAGACTACACATTTCCCCGGAAGAAGTGATTTCTTTTCTTTTCTTTTCTTTTTTTTTTTTTTCTCTCTCTCGAGAAAACTCATAAACGTTCGTGTACAAAATGCGTTCATGAAATAATGAGGCACCCAGTATATCTTATATATTATTAAGTAAAAAAAGGGATTAGATAGTTAGAGTGGGAGAGTGCGAGTTTGAGTGAGATAGAAATTAACTATAAGAGAACGGTGTATTCATCTATCTTCCAAGATCAAACGAAGATAATTTCTCTCTCTTTCTCTCTCACTCTCTCTCCTCCCTCTCTTTCTTTCTTTCTTTCACCGATAACACTTGTGCTCTTTTCATTTTAAAATTACAACATTCAGAAAGAGAGAAAGAGAGAGAGAGAGAGAGAGAGAGAGAGAGAGAGAGAGAGAGAAAGAAACATAGAGATAGAGATAGAAAGAGAAAAGTATGTGCATGTGTGTATATGTGAGAGAGAAAGAAAGAGAGCACGTGTATCAAAGTTAGCCATCTTTCTTATTTAAGAACAACTTGCAAACCCCTGTAGTTTATGTCGGTTAACGACGTCTTTATTATAAAATTTTCACTGTCGAGACACGAAAAAGAATAAGAAGAAGATGATCCATACGTCGCTTAGGTTCCTTATTTTACATATTAAAATGATCTCGTGACATTTACGGTGTATACATTATATTCTTGGTGGTCTACGGGAGAGAGAGAGAGGGAGAGAGAGAGAGAGAGAGAGAGAGAGAGAGAGAGAGAGAGAGAGAGATATTGTTATTATTTTAATTCATTTGAAAATAAAATAAAAATTAAAATTAATTTCATTAATTGTTTTTTTATATTTCTATAACCGTATGTAATGTTATAATTATTTTAAGAATTATAATTTATTATTATAATTTTATATATATATGTATATATATATATAAAAAGTTTAAAAAGTTTATTATAATATATAAATAAATAATAAAGTTCATAATAAATATGTACGAAGTAACTATTATCTTAAATCATAAATTGTATTATTATAATTTTGATATATTAGATACACATTTTAATAATATTAAAAATTGAAATTTATTATTATAATATATATATAGTATAGTTTTCATGATAAGTAATTAACTTTATTATTTTCATGATAAGTAATTAACAATCATATTCATGTATATATAATTATATATATATATATATATATATATATATATATATATATATATATATATATATATACATGAATATGATTGTTTTTAATTATTAAAGTAATTATTATAATAATTTCTTTGGAAACGAATACGAATCATATTTCTTCTTGTTCTTTTTCTCTTTTACTTTTACTTCTTCTTCCTCTTCATCTTTTCATTATTGTTATTATTATTATTATTATTATTATTATTATTATTATTATTATTATTATTATTATTATTATTATTATTATTATTATTATTATTTTTATTATGATCAATGCTTTCATTGCAGAGCCAAAAACTGGTTTTCACATTGCTTTCAACATGTTCGATACCGATGGCAACGAACGTGTGGATAAGACCGAGTTCCTCGTGGTAAGAATTATCTAAACGATTTGTTATCCTTAATTATATATATTTCGATTATCTCGAATTATCATCTTGTATATAAGAATAAAATCGTATTATCATTTTATTGGTATATAATAATAAAATATGATAGACTTAAAAACGATCGTATCTAAGAAAACTAATAAATTAAATGTAATCTTAAGAGATTACAAAAAGAGGGAAAGATATGGGGGAAAAAAATAAAGAAAAAGAAAAGGAAAAAAGAAAAAGAAAAAAAGGAAAAGATAAAGAAAAGATTCGAAACGATTATCTATATAATTATTCTACATAATAGTGCATTATTCAGATAAAAGATAATCTTCATAAAAAATAAATATACATATGTATAAATATACAAATATATAAATATAAATTGTTAACAATTTGTTGTGCGCAATAATTTTTGTAGATTCAATACGTCTACGAAATTAGATAAAAGATAAATTAACAGAAAAAAAAAAAAAAAAAAAAAAAAAAAAATAAATAAAAAGAAGAGAGAAAAAACATGAAATAATTTTAATATAGAAATAAATGTCCCACGATATGATACGATCATTTTTAACATCATTTTATCATTGTTTGAAATTATTTATATATAATATATATATGTGTCGAATGTTTATCAGTTTTTTTGCATGTCGAGCTTATCGTATGTCGTGTATTTTTTTGTTTTTTTTTATTTCTTTTTTTTTTTTTTTTGTTTTTATTTTTTTTCTAAATTATATATCTATATGTGAGCGTGTGCGTATGTGTGTATACATCATCGATAGGAACATTTTCGACGATGATCTAAATGATGACAGAAGATGAAATCTAATCACATGAATATTTTTATCTTTTTTACAGCATATTGTAATTATTAATATAAATGTAATATCGTCGTACGAAAATTTTAATTCAACCGAGAAGAAGATAATTAAAAAGTTTTTTTTACTTTTATATATATATATATATATTGTTTCTTGTCCTTTTTCTTCTATTTACCAATGCGTTCGCATTGGAAATGAAATAAATAAATAAATAAATAAATAAATAATAATAATAATAATAATAATAATAATAATAATAATAATAATAATAATAATAATAATAATGATAATAATAATTAAAAAATTCATCTAAAATTTTGTCAATCAGATTCGACGATTATTTGATGGAACCTTGAAGGGACGAAACGATCTCGACGAAACGACGAAACGTGCAGTGAGTTTTGACTCTGATCTCTGCTTTTAAGAGAGTATATGAACGATCGATATATATATATATATATATATATATATATAGATAGATAGATATATATATCGATACTAACTTATAATAATTTATATAATAACTTGTGTGATTAAATGTTTTATCATTTGCAATTTTATCAGGATATCTAAAGGGATCACAAAAAAAGAAAAAAAGAAAAAAAAATGATTAATTAATCCTCTATAACATCATGTTACTTCAAAGTCACGTATGTGTGTGTGTATGTGTGCATATAGTATTATGAAAACTATATAATATATAATGACAAGTATATATAATTATATAATATATATATATATATATATATATATATACATATAATATTGTATAACAATTTGGTAAATAAAATTATTTAAATATGCAAACAAAAGAAAAATAAAAAAAAAAATTGATGTTATAGAAGATTAACAAACTATAATAACTTGATAACGATGACTAATATTATCTTTCATTATTATCTTTCATAAATTTCAGCGCAAAGTATAAGTAATAATAATAATAACAAATAATAATTAATATTATTATCATAATCATTGCTTTATTAACTATTTACGTTCTAATAAATACTCCTCTCATTCTTTATTAATTTTTATCATATTTTTATAATATTATTTCTCTTTTTCTCTTAATGCTGTTGTGTTCCTTTTTTCTTTCTTTCTTTCTTTCTTTCTTTCTTTCTCTCTTACTTTTCTTTTGCTTTGCAATTCATAGAACATTTTTAATCTCATAATTACTTATTTTGAATTTATTTAATTAATAATTAATAATTTTAAATATAAAATTAATTTATTTAATTAATTTTTTTGCTTTATTTTTGACAAGTTAAATATTAACGAACAAAAGCATATGATGTTTATAAGATATTATAATTGACACGTGCAATTCTATTGATTATATATATATATATTTATTTATTCATTTATTTATTTATGTTATATACTATTGTTTTCATTTTAACATATCAGTTACAACAAATACTGACACCGAGCGAAGAAACCGAAGCAATTCTAAAACTTCGTAATGTACACGTAGAAACGAACAAGACCAATAATTTCATCCCTCTTTATTATGTAAGTCCGTGTTGTGATGATGTTTGTTAAAGAAAAAACAAATTAATAATTAACAAGTGTTCTTTTTTTTTTTTTTATTTAATTTTTATTTATATTTTCTTTTTTTTATTTTTTGTACTCTTGTTATCTAACGATTTAACAGATTATTGCCAAATTATTTTCTAACAAAAAAAAAAAAAGAAAAAAAAAAGAATAATGTACGTACAATAATTAATTCATACTTAAATATAAAAAAATTATATATATAAATTATTTTTTATTAATATTATAATTATACTATAATTATAATATTAATAATATATATATATATTTATATTTATATGTATGTATATTATATTACAATTAATTATTCTTATTCATTAACAAATTGTCTACTACTTTATAAAAAGCTATTGAACGTTTCAAGATATAAAGGATGGAAATATTAATTCCAGTAAAAAAAAAAATTAATTCGAGGTCTCTCTCAAAAAAAGAAGAAAAAAAAAAAAGAAAAGAAAAAAAAAAGTACATTGACATTATGTCACAAATGTCAATTTGCTAATCCTAAGTATAATAATTTCACATATACCTGCTGCACATAAAATAATATGCTTTTCGCCCTCTCTTCCCCAATCCCCATCCCCATCCCCTTCTCATTATCTAATCCATTTTTTGTGCCATTTCAATGCTAATGCATTTTTAAAATTTATATTTCAGATACATTAAATCCTGGAAAATGAAATCATGTCTCATTAATATGTCGTGCAAATAAAGTGTGTATAATTTCTAATAACAATATATATGTATATACTTGCATATGTATGTGTGTTTATGTGTATGTGTATGTGTGTTTGCATGTTTATGTTATTATGTGAAATAATTTGATAATTTTCACAATAAATATTTATTTCTTGCTATCATTATCTTTATCTCTCTCTTTCTTTCTATATATGTATATATATATATATATATATATATATATATATATATATATATATATATACACATATGTACATATTTCTCTCTTCTTCTATTTATCACTCTTTAAATGCACATGTGACGCAGATGGAAAAAGTCTTTAGTCATGCATGGAGAGGACGTCATGGTGGTGAAACGAAAGACGAGTTGGAACATTTGAATCAACGTCAAGAAAGTCCTGAAGAGATCCAAGGACAATATATAAACGATGATCAGGTATTGATAAGAGAAATTTTTTTCTTCTGATTTTATAATCAACGTCGTTTTTCGATATCAATAGTTGCTTGTTAAGATTAAGAAAATTTTTCATCGTTAAACGTGAAATCGATTGAATTTCCTTTCCCTTTCCTTTCCTTTCAATGCTTTCTTTTTCTTTTCTTTTTTTTTTTTTTCTTCCATGAATATTGTCCAATATCGACACAACAATTACAAAAGATTATAAATTTAATCCCAACTATATAATATATATATATATATTTTTTTTTAATAGGATCTGTAAGAAAGATATGAAATATATTAATATTATATGTGTAATGATATATATATTAATTGTCTGTAATAATAATAATTATAAAAAAAAAAATATATATATATATATATATAAAAAGATTTAATAATATAAATTTTTGAATGAATATATATAATTTAATTCTATATATATATATATACATATATATATTATATTATTATTAATATTATAAAGACTATATTAAATAAAAGTTATACTTAAAAAAAAAAAGAAAAAAAAAAAAGAAAAAAGAAAGATAACAAATAAAAAATTTTCAGATAAGAAATAAAAATTAATATTCTTCAAATGTAATTCAAATAAAAATTATTAAAATATTATATAAATGTATAAATTGGAAATTATATAAAATTATAATAGTGAGGATTAAAATATAATCTTATTATTATAAATTATGTTTTATATATATATACATATATATATATATATAGGGTCTACAAAGACGACATGCGGTTGACACAACTCTGATGATACATTTCTTTGGAAAAGATGGTAATCATGAATTAAAATACGAAGATTTCCGTCGTTTCATGGAGAATCTACAACATGAGGTATTAGAATTGGAGTTTCATGAATATAGCAAAGGTCATGATACTATAAATGAATTGGATTTTGCTAAAATATTATTAAGATACACTGAATTGGATGTCGACGAGTAAGATGGCTTCTATTAAAATTTATTTCAACTAAATTTTCATTTTTTATCTCTATTTATCTATATATATTTATATATATATATATATATATACGTTTGCATGTGTGTATTATAATAACGTATAATAATAATAATAATAATAATAAATACATATATCATTACATATGCTATAAAATTTATTTCACGTAATGATATTATTTTTATTATATATTATTATATTTTACTATATCATTAATACGTTATCAGATAGACCCGATTATATTTCCTATAATTGAATTATTTCATTCAATGAGTCAACGTTTAAAAAATAAATTCTAAGAACATGGTTTTTCTTTTTTCTCTTCTTTTTGTAAAATCAATCAAATATTTATCTGATAACTCCTACGAACTAGTATTTAATACTGTTTGCGTTGATAAAGATTAAACGAATTGATAACTCTTGCAGATTCGATAAATATTTGGAAAGAATGATAGATAGATCCGATCTACAGATCGGTATTACTTTCGACGAGTTTCGACGTTTCTATCAATTTTTAAATAATCTTGATGATTTTTCAATAGCCATGCAAATGTATACATTGGCTGATCATCCGATATCTAAAGGT